CCTGTCTGAGGGGCCTGGGCTCCAATAAGCTTTTTTGTTTAATGTGCAGTATTGTTTTTAAGGTCGTCCATCCCCCCCTGTGCACTTGGTACCTTCCTGAGCACGTGCAGGAAGGTTTTTGTTACATTGACGGGCCTTCCTTTAACCTAGCAGCAGTGGAGTACAGCTGCTGGAGGTAAAGCTAACGAGCGAGAGAAGAGACACTGACTGGGGTGGGGGAGAGACACCAAAGTTGGGAGAGACTGGGGGTCCCTTAAAATTTCCTTGCCCAAAAAGGGGTCATGAATGGAGAGTTTTAGGCCTGTTCTAGGGCACTGGTGGTCAACATAGTAAATATAGGAACCCTCCATTGCAGCAGCCCCTGATATGTCTATGGGCTATAGCTTTGTTTTCTGTAAGGATTGTATTAAAGGAGAATTATGGGGTTAGGGCTTTTCCCCCATGGTTCTCCTAAGGGTAATGGGAACACACAAACTAGCGTCCTCCCGTCACCCAAAGCTCAGTATACTGCGAGCCACAGCTTGCGGTATACTGAGACGCTGGAACGGATCCCAACAATTCTGTCTGGATCCACAGGCTGCATGAGTGATAGCTGGATCTGCCTAGCTAGAGGCAGAGCTTAATCCTTGCAGGGAACCGTGAGTGACAGTCATGGCTTTGCAGGGATAGATCAAAGTGAGGAGCAGCGGTATGTGTTCGCTCACTTCCCGATCTACTGAGCCGACCTGTGACAGTTTCATTGTCGCAGGTTGGCTCAGATTCACTCGCCTCATAATTCTCCTTTTTAAGATAAGTGGCAAATAACGTATTTTCAGTTTTGCAGCCAAGATGGGATAACGCCTCTTTTATATTTCTTAGTCACATAGCATTGGTTAAAAATAAATTAATGCTTCTTGCAGTCTAGATTGCTATTGGGTTATGGGTTCTTGTAAGGGTTAAAATTTCCACTCCTTTGTAATAGGAGGGTCTGTAATGGGTTAAAGTGTTACAACCCTGCCGTCTCCATTCCATGTTAATGCAAAAGATGTAATCCTCAAATAGCTGGAGTTTTCCTAGAAAGACAGATCATGGTTTGTCTGGAAAAATCTGGAATCAGCCATGTTGCCTGCTGCGATGAAATGTCTATTTTTTGTTTGACGTGTGAATACGAACACTGATAGAGGAGTTTTCTCATATTTGACTGCAAAAGTGGAAATTCACTTTAAAATTCCAACTGTGAGCACTGTTCTTTTTACATTCTAGTCAAGTTGCTCCTAATCCACATGTGCAGTTAGGTAAAATCTTGCAGATTTCAGGGAGATGAGCTGTAGACTTTGGCAAGACTGCATGAAAAGGATGGTGTCAGTGGGACGGTAAAAAGCTATAATTCCAACTGCAGAGGTTTGGACACTAGGCTGAATGCCAGTGCTGAACTGCTCCCCTCCTGCTCAGTTTTGCACAGTATCCCCAAAGAGGTGGATGACTTGACTTTCCTGAGGTTTCTTCAGTCAACAGTGTGGTAGTTTTAGGTCTGCAAAATCCTTGAAGGCTGTCCAGTGAGCCATTGAGTCCAGGTTTTCCCTATTCATATAACTTTGGTGTTCTTTCGGTGACAGCCCTTGATTGGCCATGTACCTTCTTGCAACTATTTTAATGTCATGCAGGTATCAGTCTAAGGCTGGGTTCACACCTAGGCGTATCGAATATGCGTGTTTGTTGTAAGACAAAATGTGTTTTTGAGGGCTACTTGGCTGTATCCCAATGGAAACGTGTGACAATGCCCCAAAGAAGCTCCTGTCCTTTGGGCGTAGGATGTTTTGTAGCGTGTTCATACGGCCTGTAATACGCCCAGGTGTGAACCATACCCATAGGAATTAATCAGATTCTGGTGTTTGAGTGTTTTGCAGAGTAGGAACACGCTACAAAACGCCCAGGTGTGAACCGGGCCTAAGGTGTCACTGGAGTGGGTCTGGAGCTGTTGCTGTTTCTTTGCTGGTCACGCGCTGCAAAGTCAATCCTCAGTGAAGTGCAAGCATTTTGCCCTGTTTCCCATAAGGCTTGTTCTTGGCACTACTGTTTCCGTCTAGAAGAAGGGAGTGTTTTTTGGCATGTACTCTCCACCATCTTGCCTTCGAACAGACTATCTTTACCAGAGATGCAATCTGCTACCTGTAATTGTTTGCAAGCCTGCCTGTACTGTCATTTCTTCAGGCTTTGGCCCAATACCCACTCTAGGTTCTGGGAGTATAGGATACCGGTGTTGCATTGTGTTAAGCATCAGCAGAATGGCTGGTTTACCTGTGTCCGCAAGCAATCCTAGGAGCTTGGCTCCTGTATACTTTGTGCATGGTCTGCACGGTGCATTTTGATGATGGGAGAAGTGTCCACATTCTGCATACTTCTACAAAATAGCACTTCCCGAAGTCTCCACCCAGATATGAGACTTTACCCCAATCTAGTCAATTGCACACACATTTACAACAAAAGTTGTGGGGTTTTTTTAAAACAAGGACTTGGAAGGTTAGAAAATCATATGGTTCTGAGTCCTCGTTTAAAAAAACCCCCACTACAGCTTTTGTTGTAAATGTGTATGCACATTCTGCACACTTGTTACTGGTTGTCTGGGATTTGCCAGACCTTTCCAACTGTTGAGGTACCTGCAGCTAAATTACCTTAAATTACCTTACTGCTTGGTGCTTTTTCACCAATCCTCTTCCAGGTTGGCAACCTAAGATGTTTGGCTCCTCTTACAGGAAATCCAATTAACAGTTTAAAAAATATATATCCCTCTTTTTTTTTTAGATTGTTTCCTGCCGTCCAGGAACATCGTGTGTGGGTTTTTGTTTTTTTGGCTGGCTTGCTTTGGAGTCATGGGTCCCTCTCTGCAAATGGTACTGCTCCCTGTGGCCTTGCTGCTGTGGAGGGTTACCCATCTTTATTCCAGGTGCTCTTTGCCTCAAGGCTGACTGGTGCTGTGTCCCTGTCATTTGCCTGGCTTATGGTGAGGCTCTAAACTGCTCCTATGCTGCCTTTCTGTGGCTGCTCTATCATTTGGTGGTAGGGGTCCAGCTGCGTGCCTCAAGCCTTGTTCTGGACACATTGTGTCATTTTCTGCTGCTGATGTATCGTCACCTGGGCGCTTCTGTGTGCAGCTGTTCTGAGCCCGGGACATCACTGCTGCTGACACGGAGGATGGCAACAGGTAGGTGCTGTGTCCAAGGCCCCAGTAAGTGGTACTCTTGTAGGGTTGTGGTCAGACTTGTGGCAGTGGGATCTGAGCTTTTTGTTGGGTTTCACTATGGGACCCTTGTTTTGAGAAGCTGGGAATATTGCCATCTGTTCCACTGTTTGCCCCAGCTTCCAAACAAATTAAAATACGCTGCTGGAATTGTAACATCAAGCTTCCTTCTGGTTACTATAATCCTCTGATCAGTGTATTAAGTTGGTTGTTAATGAATCCTCTAATCTTATGAAGGGCTTATTGGAAAGTGGTAATGACTGAAAGGGTGGCTATGGTACAGTCATTACCGAATTGTTGCCTTCTACCGCCTCTGTTCCAGTTATGGCAGGTCCATCGTGTCTTTGATTAGGATTGCAGTATAAAGCAGTTTCCCCTGTCTGAACAGGTTAAAAAGGGTGTATCTGAAAAGGAGTCAGGCTCTGATGGGTCCCTAGACGAAGGGGGAATGGTAGATGAGGATGTAATGTCGCCCATCTAGGCATCTTTTTGCCTTGGAAAAAATGGATTATCTTTTACAGGCCATTTATGCTACTGTTCAGATTCCTGATCTGCCACAAGCAGTTTCAGTTCAAGATAAAGTATACAGAGGCTTACTAGAACCACAGGGTAGTGTGTTTCTAATATGCCATAGATGAAAGTAGTCACTCGCACTCCCTGATATTAAAGTCAATGCTTTTTATTGACTGAGATAACACACATCTCCTTAGCAATGTTTCGAGACTATGTGGCCCCGTCCTCAGGCAAATTTTCATCTATCGAGATTTCAGAGGCAGTCGTCACCACCCTGTTGGATTTGGGTTTTTGTCCGGTCAGGAGTGCGATGGGACAGGAGGATTACGTTTCTAATATGCCAGTCGCTGAAGGATTTAGTCTGGGGAATGGAAGGAGCCAGGAGAGAAGGTTCCCCTTCAGCAGGGAAGGTGAGAAAAGATATTTTAAATGTCTAAGATTGGATGCTGCTTTGGCCCAGGTGTCCAAAAAAAAAAGGGCTGATCTTTCCTTCTGGGGATGCTGGTAATAAAGAAAAAAACATGGAACAGAAGG